GGAAAAATTAAAAAAAAATATTTTTAGAGGTTAAAAGGGGGGTTTTTTTTGTGTTTTTTTTTTTTTGGGAAAAGGTTAAAAAAAAATTTGGTGTTAAATTTTTTAAATTTTTTTTTTTTTTTTGGGTTGGGAAAAAAGGGAAAAAAGGTTAATTTTTTTTGGTTTTTAAAAAAAAATTTTTTTGGTGGGTTTTTTTTGGTTTTTTATAAGTTGGCATATTTTTTTTTTTTGGGGTGGGAGGGGGGGGGTTTTGGGGGGGGGGGGGGGTCAACCCGGGACTCTGGCTGTGGAACGAGTTGTGGCTGTGCGTCTAGCTCGAGTATTTTGGCAGCATTACTGCCTCGTTTCACTTAGGTGGCGCGAGACATACGGTACACACCAGAGGCTCCGTAGAATGCCACATCAGCTACCAGGGGTATGTACGACCAACCTGACCGAGTTTTCCTGCTTGGATGTGCGGATGTGTTGGCTGCCGACACCAGCTTCGGAATTTGCTGTTGTGCATTGGCCACACTCTTTGTGCGCACGTAAATCTCGCGCCTTGACGTTGTTTCGGGCGCCAAAACGCAGACCAAAGTTTACTTGGTGGGTCTCAACAACAAAGCCACTTGCGGTCCAAGACAAGTTGGTGGTGGCACTCGCCGACTCCGTTGTCACGCCCTACAGAAGAGCGACAGCCCTCGCCCCCTCTCGCCTTCAAAAACAATAAAATTCCTCGTTGACAAAATCCCGATTGACTCCGTCCTGGCGAGACTTCATGGCCTGGATTAGTGCATGAGTCTAAGGAAGGCGCACCAGAAACAACGCGTCCGGACCGTCCCCTCTCTCCCTCCAAAGACCTGTGTCCCTGCACCCAGAGTTTCGCGTCAGGAAATACATCGACCATCTGACTACCGTCATACGATCTCAGCCCTCTTCCAACTCCCAACAGCAGCACTCCCTCCCACCTGCACCGCGTCAAACAGCGAGTGCTGCTCGATCATGCGAAACACGTGGCCGTACTGCGCCTCGCTGCCGGCCCCATCACCGGTTCCGACGCCATGCGTGATCGATGGTGTCGCCGACGACCCCTGCCGGCCCCGCGCCGGCCCTTGGGGGGCTCGTCCGATCCCGCCCGTTCGCTGCTGCTGCCGCTGCTGCTGCTGCAGCCGGGCACCGTTCTCCGAAGCCGCTTGGTGTTCCGCTAGGGACAGGTAGACGCGTACGGCCCTCGCGAACTGACGGTCCATCACGTAAGCTTCGGCCTGTATTGCACGCGCCGCGCGACGGTTGGGGAGTGCGCGTGATGGTGGTGATGGCAGAAGATGGTGGCAGCTTGTTCGAACAAGAGCGGCAACCACGGGCGGCATGGTAACATCCCCTACGATCGTCGCAATGCCGGCTCGACGCTTACGTCATGTGTGCGGGATAAACGAGGGAACCGGGTACCGTCTCTCTTGTCCGGTTCGTTCACACACCCCCCCCCAAAAAACTGTCTTCGGTGCGCCCAAGTACACACGACACACCCAGGCAACACGTATTCTGACACTCGATTCTTCGTTGCCATGAACTGATGCTCTCCTGCCTGAGCCTTGGCCTCTTTTTGATAGACGCACGAGGCGGCGTAGTGGGGGAATGTAGGAAAGGGAATGAAGCCATCCTCGTCTGAAACCTACATCCGACACCATCACGTAATCTTGATAGGGACAGAGTTCCTGGGATACGTTCATGTACAGCAGTCGGGTGCCCTCCAAATATAGTGCCGGAATGTGCCAGGCGCTTCTACCCGCACTTTAGCGGGCACCCGCAATATTCACTGCGTAAACCGTGTTGATAATTCCGTCTGTGCCAGCCAATTTCGCCCGCACGTTAGCGGGCACCCGCGCCCATGTAACCCGCCCCACAGAGGGCACCCGACTGCAAACACAAGAACACCGTGCCTTAGGTTGCATGACGTAAGATATCACACCCCCTGGATCAATTTTCGAAGCTCGATATCTCGACGGGAAAAGCAGCGAAGGTGCCAAAAATGACCGCGTTGGAACCGTTTCGTCGAGGGCTTTCCGAAAACGTGTCGTTTGATACATGCGCATCCGCTTCGTCATGGAGCAACCGAGCTTTGAAAATCGGTCCAGGGGGGGTGATATCTTATGCAACTTACGGTAGGTGCACACGTGAGAGTCGTGGCGTTCAGAGTCGCCGCAAACCCGACACCGGCACCATGACGGGGATGGGATGGTGACACCCGCAAGGAGCACACCACACACGGGGAGGGGGATTTCAAGCATCAAATCTTGCGCGCGGGGGGGGGGGGGGGGGGGACAGGACGTACGTGAGCCTCCATGACAACCGGGTCAGGCCTCTGCACCAGCGATGCCTCCATGCGCGCCATCACCACGGGAAGGCTGTACAAGTCCTGC